GGGCCCCGACCAATGGCACACTGACACTTGGGGGTCCCAGAACAATGATACGCTGACACTTGGGGGTCCCAGAGCAATGACACGCTGACACTTGGGGGTCCCAGAACAATGACACGCTGACACTTGGGGGCCCAGAACAATGACACTGACACTTGGGGGGTCCAGAACAATGACACACTGACACTTGGGGGTCCAGAACAATGACACAATGACACTTGGGGGTCCAGAACAATGACACGCTGACACTTGGGGGTCCCAGAACAATGACATGCTGACACTTGGGGGCCCAGAACAATGACACACTGACACTTGGGGGTCCCAGAACAATGACACTGACACTTGGGGGTCCAAGAACAATGACACACTGACACTTGGGGGTCCCAGAACAATGACACACTGACAAGTATATTGACCGCTCCCCCCAAATGTCCAACAAGCTCCTGTTGGTGCGATGGTCGGGTGTCCGCAGACTTTTGGCCATGTAGTGTATTTGTGGTGCAGCTTGAAGACCGGTATCAGTTTCTGGCAGTATGTCTCCTCCTCCTCTGGCACCTGAGGCCTTGTTTTTAGACATAGTCCACCTATGGACTAAAGGCAAAGCGTTGTTTTCACATCCAGTGTATTCGGACAGCGCTGCCCTAGTGATGCGTTGTCCCCTATTGAGGTGTTTGGCGCATTGTGCGCGCTCATAGTATCGTGGTGCGATGTATTACGGGTCACTCACTTTCTCATGTTGTGTGTACAGGACGATCAGAGAGGAGAGGCCATTCCTCGCCTCCATCCCGCGGAGCGTTCTTCATCCTGCAGCTTCACGACGAGCTGCTTTACGAAGTGGCGGAGAATGACGTCATCCAGGTAACGGTCTCCGATAGCTGTACAATGACGCACGTTGTCTCCGAGATCAGAGTCCGCAAATAACTGGGCGATAGTCTAAAGTGTAACCCAAAGCTGAAAGACTTCCTGTGTCCCTCAATGACTGTGGGGGGACATTAGAGTGTAAGCTCCTCTGTACAGAGACTGATGTGACTGTGCGGGGGGGATTAGAGTGTAAGCTCCTCTGGTACAGAGACTGATGTGACTGTGCGGGGGGGATTAGAGTGTAAGCTCCTCTGGTACAGAGACTGATGTGACTGTGCGGGGGGGATTAGAGTGTAAGCTCCTCTGGTACAGAGACTGATGTGACTGTGCGGGGGGGATTAGAGTGTAAGCTCCTCTGGTACAGAGACTGATGTGACTGTGCGGGGGGGATTAGAGTGTAAGCTCCTCTGGTACAGAGACTGATGTGACTGTGCGGGGGGGATTAGAGTGTAAGCTCCTCTGGTACAGAGACTGATGTGACTGTGCGGGGGGGATTAGAGTGTAAGCTCCTCTGGTACAGAGACTGATGTGACTGTGCGGGGGGGATTAGAGTGTAAGCTCCTCTGGTACAGAGACTGATGTGACTGTGCGGGGGGGATTAGAGTGTAAGCTCCTCTGGTACAGAGACTGATGTGACTGTGCGGGGGGGATTAGAGTGTAAGCTCCTCTGGTACAGAGACTGATGTGACTGTGCGGGGGGGATTAGAGTGTAAGCTCCTCTGGTACAGAGACTGATGTGACTGTGCGGGGGGGATTAGAGTGTAAGCTCCTCTGGTACAGAGACTGATGTGACTGTGCGGGGGGGATTAGAGTGTAAGCTCCTCTGGTACAGAGACTGATGTGACTGTGCGGGGGGGATTAGAGTGTAAGCTCCTCTGGTACAGAGACTGATGTGACTGTGCGGGGGGGATTAGAGTGTAAGCTCCTCTGGTACAGAGACTGATGTGACTGTGCGGGGGGGATTAGAGTGTAAGCTCCTCTGGTACAGAGACTGATGTGACTGTGCGGGGGGGATTAGAGTGTAAGCTCCTCTGGTACAGAGACTGATGTGACTGTGCGGGGGGGATTAGAGTGTAAGCTCCTCTGGTACAGAGACTGATGTGACTGTGCGGGGGGGATTAGAGTGTAAGCTCCTCTGGTACAGAGACTGATGTGACTGTGCGGGGGGGATTAGAGTGTAAGCTCCTCTGGTACAGAGACTGATGTGACTGTGCGGGGGGGATTAGAGTGTAAGCTCCTCTGGTACAGAGACTGATGTGACTGTGCGGGGGGGATTAGAGTGTAAGCTCCTCTGTACAGAGACTGATGTGACTGTGCGGGGGGGATTAGAGTGTAAGCTCCTCTAGCACAGATTCTGATTGGAGAGATCCATTGTGGCCCCCGACATGCAGTGACCCGCCAGGTCTGTCGCTCTCTTACACACCTGAATACAGAGCGCGATGCCGTCTCTCACCTGCAGGTGGCGCAGATCATTAAGAGTGAGATGGAGAACGCGGTGAAGTTATCGGTCACTCTGAAGGTGAAGGTGAAGTTTGGCCCCAGCTGGGGGGATCTGCAGGACTTCGACCTCTAGGAGGCGCTCTTCCCCCGATCACGCCTGCTACCATGAAGATGACCGGTCACTGCTGGGCCCCCGGAAAGCCCATGTTGTTTTTTACAGAGATGCTGATTTGTGATTTTGCACATGCGAGACGTTTCGTCTCTCAATACCTGTAGATAGCAATGGAATGTATCTGTACGTGGGACGACATGTACTTTTTAAACCATATGAATTGAAGATTTTTTAACTATTTGATGTAAAAAGATCCCAGATTTATGTCGGATGTAATGAAATATTTTAAATATGTCAAAATACATTAAATATAATATAATATATCCATCTGTAGTCTCTTCTCATCTGTCACTCAGCAGAAAAGTGCACCTGTCACAGCTATGTTAAAGAGTAAAAATCTCTGCAATACTTCCACATTTCCCGGGTTTTATCTCTTGTAAAAAGCTGCAAGTGCAGAAATATACCGGCCAGTCCGTCAGAAATCCGGGGAGCTCCTAACTTCCTGCAGTAAGCTGACAACACCGCGCCTCTGCTGCTTCTCCATTGTGTTCAATGGGTCTGGTTCACACCTTGCCGTATTTCCGCCCGCCCGAACGCGGTACAAAACGCCCACGCCCAAAGAAGTACATGTACTTCTTTGGGGCGTTTTGGTCTCGCGTTTCCATTGGGATACAGCCAAGTAGCCCACGGAAACGCGCGGTCTTTTACCTGCGAACCGCGCGACAAACGTGCATATTTAATACGCCTAGGTGTGAAGCCAGCCTTACTGGGATTATAACAAAGTGGAAGCAACCGGGAACAACAGCAACTCAGCCAGGAAGTGGTCGGCCACGTCACATGACAGAGCGGGGTCAGCGCATGCTGAAGCGCACAGTGCGCAGAAGTCGCCAACTGTCTGCAGAGCCAATAGCTACAGACCTCCAAACTCCATGCGGCCTTCAGATTGGCACAACAACAGTGCGTAGAGAGCTTCATGGAATGGGTTTCCATGGCCGAGCAGCTGCATCCAAGCCGCACATCACCAAGTGCAATGCAAAGCGTGGGATGCCGCGGTGTAAAGCACGCCGCCACTGGACTCTAGAGAAGGGGAGGCGTGTTCTCTGGAGTGACCAATCACGCTTCTCTGTCTGGCAATCCGATGGGCGTGTCTGGGTTTGGCGGTTGCCAGGAGAACGGTACTTGCCTGACTGCATTGTGCCAAGTGTAAAGTTTGGGGGAGGGGGGATTATGGTGTTGGTTTTTTTTTCAGGGGTTGGACTCGGCCCCTTAGTTTCAGTGAAGGGAACTCTTAAGTCAGTAGAGGGGCCTGCTGATACCAGTTCTAAGATGTATAAGGTAGTTACATAGTATTTGAGGTTGAATAAAGACACAGGTCCATCAAGTTCATGATTGAAGATAAGTAGCCTGATTGGTGTGGTTGGTGGAGGAATGGAGCCGGATTGGAGGAATCATTTTTTAGGGGGTACGGGAACATTAGAGCTCTGCAATAGTCAGTCTAAAGCTGCACATGACTTTTACAGTGACCCCGCATCATGGCCACATGAAGCTGGAAGCCACACTGCGACCTTCGCACAGGCACAACTAGAACTTAGATGGTCTCATAGCAACATTTTCACCGGGTTTCATTGACATTGGTGGTTAGTGACCATGACCCCCTTTTAGTACAATGGAGTCCAGTGATAAGTGTCCTCTTTAGTACAATGGTATCCAGTGATAAGTGTCCTCTTTAGTACAATGGTGTCCAGTGATAAGTGTCCTCTTTAGTACAATGGTGTCCAGTGATAAGTGTCCTCTTTAGTACAATGGTGTCCAGTGATAAGTGTCCTCTTTAGTACAATGGTGTCCAGTGATAAGTGGCCTTTTTAGTACAATGGTATCCAGTGATAAGTGTCCTCTTTAGTACAATGGTGTCCAGTGATAAGTGTCCTCTTTAGTACAATGGTGTCCAGTGATAAGTGTCCTCTTTAGTACAATGGTGTCCAGTGATAAGTGTCCTCTTTAGTACAATGGTATCCAGTGATAAGTGTCCTCTTTAGTACAATGGTGTCCAGTGATAAGTGTCCTCTTTAGTACATTGGTCAACAGTGCAAAATGTCCTTTTTAATACATTGGAGGTCAGTGAGAAACACCCCCTCGAGTGCATTGATGGTGATGGAGAAGCACATTCTCATGCACATGGTCAATGATAAACAGCCCTTTGGCACAATGGTGATCTGTAACAAATGCCCTCCCTCAGTACATTGGTGGTCATTAAAAAATGCCCAGTGCCAGTGTTTGACTCATTTTGTAGGCCCAGCCCACGTGCTGGCTTGGCACTACACCCAACACTGGCATACACCTTGGCTTTGACCTTGTCTGCACAAAAGGAAGAAAGTTCCACCACTCCAGGGATCCATTGTGTTGGCTGGAACTTTGCTGAGGTGGATTCATCTTCGGAATAGTTGTCCACTCTTCTCATGCCCAGGCCACCAGATAGTGGGCACCTCTGACATCGGAGAGGCAGGATGCAGCAATGGTGAGTTATTTTAGTAAATGGCTGACCTTGTCCACTACAAACTCTCCGGAGCCCATATCGGCCTCGGGGTCTTCTCTGGTAGTTACATCTATGGGATACGTGACCACAAATGAATGGAACGCTTGAACCATCAGCCATAACTTACCAGCAGGGAGGTTGTCTACCACATTCCAAGCCCGGCATGCTGGGTCACCCCCTTGGCTAGCTGGGTGCAGAACCCAGACAGGGGGTCAACTTTGCCCCCAAGCTATCACTGGATCCAAGAAGAAGTCCTGATGGCACAATATAGAAATCCTTCATGAGTGGAGCTGTATTGTTACAGACCGGCAACACAAACCCCCGTCTGGGACCTCCCGGGTCTTCACGTTGCTTGAACAGAACAATAAACTTTCACTCGGGAAGGATGTCTACGGGAAGGACTTTTTCTTGTAACTAATGACAACTTCCCAACAATCCCTGGCCCCATGGCACGCAAAAGCCAAATAAATGATGGTCCAGACCCGACTTTTCCATATTATAATCCAAAATACAAACAAGGAAATTAAAACAAAAACCCAAAGTGCATTTTTCTGACAAATGTGATATTGTAAAAGCGGGGAAGTGAAACATTGAAAGCTGTAAACGGTATTTCCTGCTCGGCTACCTAATGCTGAGAAGGAAGAGCGGCCGCAGTCGGGGAATAGACAGCAATTTACTGCACACGTGTCCGGCAGAGACATGAAAAAAAATGTCCCAGCTGCTGACCAAGCAGTGATCAAGGTTTTGCAATGAGAGTACCGTGCTGATCAATAATCAAAAGAAACCCATCGCACACCTGACCGGATAATACCCTCAAGTATCGGGTGGGTGCCAAGCGACCACGGATGCCTCCGCAAATCAGTATAAGTATGAAGAAGTCACTCGCACTCCAGCTCAAGTTCAGTCAATAGTTTACTGACCGCTGTGGTGTCAACATGGCGACGTTTCGGAACCCGTTTGGTCCCTTCATCAGGCAAACAAAGAGTGCTCGCTCGATGAAGGGACCAAAAGTGTTCCGAAACGTCGCCATGTTGTGACAATACAGGGGTCAGTAAACTATTGACTGGAGTGAGCTGAGCGACTTCTTCATACTTACCCTGTGGTGATCAGACGGATGGGGTGACTACTTGGCACAGATTACAGATCACTGGTCCCTCATCCAACATTATTGTGGTCAGCAATAGCAGCAAAGTTCAACATTTCGGGGCCATGCAGTCTGCTTGAGGAAGGTTGGCCCCCAAAAACGTCAATGCTGCTTCTACTGGTGTCTCTACGATGTCAGATTGAGGAGCACTTTGGTGTGCTGGTGATATTCAATCTCTCGGCAAAGACACGAGGACTCTATCAGGGCCGGTGATGATGGCCCTTTCTTTGTGTCTGGATTACTCATCTCCCCATACAGGATAATAGGAATACAGAAGCAGGCTGAGGCAGGTCAAGTACGGGGTCACATGCACGTCACTGAATTCTGAATGATCTCAGAAGAGTCACCAACTGAAGATCGTCGACGAAAGCCCCAGGCCTGTAGACATTGGCCCTAAAAAGTGCTTTCTTCACCAAAATGAGTCACTTAATGGTTTCCAGAAATTGGGATGGCCTTCAGTCATGTGACCAGTTAAACAATAAATAGTTCTTAGTGAGGTTCTTCTCCAAGATAGATTCATACAAAATGTAGAAGAGGAAATAAATCGTAAAGCAGTAAGAAGTTCCTTAACATTATGTGATGGTCTTTGTAGATAGATTCCCTGCGGGTGTCATGCAGGTTCCATAGTCATGGAGGCAGGGGCTAGTCTATTTTGTGCCCTAGGCAAGACCAGCTACTGGCGAACACACACACACACACACACCCTACAGTATACAGCAATGCAGAATAATACTATATACAGTTTTCTAAATACTCTGTGCTGACGCTCTGTTCCAGGGTGCCGGCCTGATGTCTCGGGTGGAGGGTCTCAGGAGAGGTGCAAAAAGTCTCATGAGGGGTGGAGAAGGTCTCAGGAGGTTCGCAGAAGGTCTCAGCATGAGACCAGAGGGTCTCAGGAGGGGTGCGGCAGGTCCATGGAGGGGTGTAGGGGGTTTGTCATATTCACACACCTTGTACGACTTCAGTGACAGGACAGAGGAAGTCACAACTATGACAATTGGGGCTGTTAGTACAAATGATTGTCTTAGTCTGTAGGGTTCAGTATTGGGTTGGCACTGCCCTTTGTCACTATAACAGCTCCGCCTCTTCTGGGAAGGTGTCCACAAGGTTTAGGGGTGTGTCTATGGGAATGTTGGACCATTTGTGAGGTCAGGTACTGATGTTGGGGGAGGGCGATGGCTTCTCCCTGTAGAAGGTGGTACATTGATGGTGATGGCTTCTCTCTGTAGAAGGTGGTACATTGATGGTGATGGCTTCTCTCTGTAGAAGGTGGTACATTGGTGGCGATGGCTTCTCTCTATGGAAGGTGGTACATTGGTGGCAATGGCTTCTCTCTGTAGAAGGTGGTACATTGATGGTGATGGCCTCTCTCTGTAGAAG